AGCGGGTGTCCCACTCGCAGGAAAAGTGCCAGTTCATCCTCGACTCCGACTACGAGGCCACCTATCTCTCGGCTATCAAGCACAAGCGAAAGCACCTGGTCCTCACCTTGATCGGCGGTACGTACCACCTCTCCAAACTGCTCGCAGTGTTGTGCGTGTGTGTGGCGTGTGCGGCGTGTGCGGCGTGTGCGGTGATGAGCTTACAGTGCGCTCGTGTGTAGGCGGCGTGTTCGGGAACAGCAAGCAGGGCATTTACGAAGCGATCTTGAAGGCGCACAAGAAGTGGGCCAACCACCCGCGTCGCAGCTGGAGAAGGTGTCCATCGTGCTCTTCTCCGACCGCGACTTCATGACCTCCTTCCCGAGCATTCTCAAGCAGCAGAACGTTCCCTTCAGGTTTCCAGCTCCTTCCTCACCACACCTGCACGACACACCACTCACTTTGAACCATTGGCGCGTTGTGTGCGCTAGGTGGACCAACTACGTGCACGGCAGCCCGATGACGAAGGATTCTCACGGCATCACGTGGTGACACTGCCGCTTCTCTTTGCTTTCAGTCGAGTTGTGCTGTGGTTGGTGGGAGGTTGGTTACGGAGCGTGGCAGTTGGCGGCGCAAACACTTTGTTGAACCAATCCCAAACACTCCGCAATATATCATCCCGGTGTTTAAATCGCTCAGACTGCTGAAGGACACCAAAGCTGCACCAACTGTACCCACACCACCCACCGCTATCCATCTTTTGTTTCTGATGCTGGATTTTGATTGAAAGATTTACATCTTTTATCAGAATATGGCTGGCGGGAGACTCGCGCTTGTGGTGCTGGCGGCCTTGCTGCTGGCCGCCGCGTCGACCGAGGGCGGCTACGTCCTGAGCCACGACTACTCGGGTCCGAACTTCTTCGACCACTTTGACTTCTGGTCCTATGACGACCCCACCCACGGCTACGTCGACTACGTGACCCAGCAACAGGCTCAAGGTATGCCTCAAACCACTGCTTGCTTTTATTGGTTTGTTAACATCTGCTCCATTGACTATATGAACTTTTTAATATATTCTTGATATTCAAAGAGTGGGGCCTGATCAAGGCGTCGAGTGCTGGCGTCTACATTGGAGCCGACCACTCGTCCATCTCGAGCGGACGTGGCCGCGCTGCGGTGCGCATCTCGTCCAAGGAGACCTTCAACGGCGGCCTATTCCTCAACGACCTCTCCCACATGCCGACTGGCTGCGGTACGCGTTGCGTGTGCGGTGGTGCGTGTGCGTTCGTGCGGGATTGGTAATAGTCATCTCATGAGGCCATGCCGCAGGAACGTGGCCGGCCTACTGGCTGTGCGGACCTAACTGGCCGCAGGGCGGCGAGATCGACATTCTCGAGGGCGTCAACATGCAGACCATTGACAAGGTGAGGCCAATCACGACTCGACTTGATTTGATGATGATACGGATGATAAATTCTCTGTGTGTCATTCATGGCGCAGTCGACTCTGCACACGAGCCAAGGCTGCGATATGAGCTCCGTGCCCACCTCTTCCTTCACCGGCCACTGGGACAACTGTACAGTCGTCTCTTAACGCATCACCTAACATAGTACTGCCGGATCTAAACATCCTGTCGCTGTGTGACCTCGCCCAGACAACGGCCAGACCCTCTCGAACTGCTATGTCGACGCCATCGGCACGCTCAACCTGGTACGATACACCCACAACCTTTCCAGCAAATGATGATGACATTTTCGCAAACTGGTGCTGATTGCGTACACTTCCAGGGCTGCGGTGTGATCGCCAACGAGTCCAACTACGGCACTGCTCTGAACCAGAGGGGCGGCGGCATCTACGCCACCGGTAAGTAACAACGCTACACCGACTCTCCTTCTTTATCTGAGTGGCACAAACAAAACGACGCACAAGCATGACCATCATCATCATCGTCATCACAAACGCGCAGAGTGGAACAGCAATGGTATCAAGTTGTGGTTCTTCTGGCGCAACAGCATCCCGAGGGACATCCAGATCGGCCAGCCCAACCCCAGCTCCTGGGGCAAGTATGTCACTGACCACCTTCCATCAGGCATTGCCTTCACTCGCTGATCCGGCGGTGGCGTGTGCGTGTCGTGTCGTGTCGTGCGCTTCTTTTCGCAGGCCTTACGCCAACTTCCAGTTCGGCAGTAACTGTCCTTCGTCGCACTTCTACAACCACCAGATCATCATCAACCTCACCTTCTGCGGCACGTGGGCCGGCGACTCGTGGGTGTGGAAGAACACCGGCTGTGGCCAGTACGCCAGCTGCCAGAACTTCGTCCAGCACAACCCGCAGGCCTTTGCCGATGCTTACTGGCAGATCAATTCCCTCAAGGTCTACCAGTGGCAGTAGACAACCAGTAGACGCGATGCTGGCATCAACAAAAATAAATTCATAAATAAATAAATAATTCCATGCACAGAACAATCACCATATCCTTCCGCGCCGTGGTTCACTTGACCGACAAGCTTCCCCACGGGCCGTACGCAGAAGGGTACATGGTCAGCGTGACAATCTTCGTGCCTCCGGACAGCACCGTGGCGGACGCGAGAGAGATCACGAAGTGGTTGACGACCGAGGACAAACGTGCGGCCAAGAACGTGAACCGAGCTCCTGGCCCGAAGCTGGTGAAGCTGTCCTTGACCCCTGACGATTACGGAAATCAAGTGCAAGGGAGGGACCGTGCGGGACGAGCAACGGCTGAGATCTGTTGAGACGGCGAAGCGTTGGAAGTGCTGGCCGACCAAGATTACGCTCCCAAGGCTGGCTGTGCCCTCTCCTAGCGTGTGCTTGGCTGAAGCATCCGCAGCACGCGACAGCGTCACAGCGAGGATGGTGGTGACACTTGCACGTCAGGATGGTCTTGGTCATTCCCTCTAGCAGGAACGGGCCAACTGACTTTCAAAGACAGTCCTTCCTACAGGAGAGCAGCCTCACCACCACACAGGCAGAGCATGCCGCCCTCGAAACACTTGTCCTTGCATTGGAGGGCGGACCTAGCACGCGGCCAATTGCAGTCGCTGGGCTCCCACACTAGGGTTAGGTAGCGCCAGTTGGTGCCGGTGGGGTTGTTACACTTTTGTGCCACCTTGCCCAAGTCGGCCTTGATGCACAACTTGACATGATCAACGGCGTTCTCATCGACTTCGCGCGCGTTGTAAGGGAACGCGATCTGCGCCCTTGCCAAGTTGCCATCGTGCACCACCAGAGGCAGCCACCGGATGGTGTCACTTGGTGATGGGTGCTGTTTCATGTCTCTGTTAGAGCGTATGCGTTCAGTACAGCCCATCAAGCTCATCGCCCGCTCCGCGCGCATGTGTTCGTCGAAGACGCGGTTGTGTTGGAATGACTCAAATCCCATCCCAAAGTCTCTCAAGCCAACTCCAGCGCCCTTCTCCCTTAGTGTTCCCCATCTTTCCGTAAAGAAACTTGCCTTCCCAAATGTCAACAAGATCGCGACTGCGTGGAATTCATTGCTGTGGTCTAAATCAAAAAGAGCGAGGGCAGAGGATGGTGCCGTCTTCCTGAGATGAGAAACGGATGCGACCGCAAACTCAAAGTGCAGATTCTCCTACTCAGTACATCTCCACTCCGAACACTTGAGTAGGATATCTTGGATGCTAAGGGTTGGTTTCTAACCCTTCCACCTCGACCCTAAAGAGGCCCTTGGGCAAAGTGGCGCAGACGGCATCCCATGCAGCAAAGACGTCTTCCTGCGTTTTGGCTTTGATTTCCTCTCGGTGCGTCGATCCTGCCTTTACATCGCCACTGTTTCTGTTCTTGACGGAACCTTCGGTGGGGTCAAGCGGCACAAAGTAGACGAGAACACCCTCGAGGCAGACAGTGGGCTCCTCGCAGATTGCTTTGTGGTCGTCTCCGGTGGTGGGCGAATCGCGACACATAGAGCTCTCTTCTTGCACCCACTCCACAAAGGTGTCTGCGTCCATGGCACGCAGCCACGAATTCACGGCGCCTTAAGGTAGTATCTGTAGCAGATCACACATTCCCAGTTGTAGTGAAAAAAGAGTTGTTCACGTGAAGTGAGGGTCAGGCGACGAGGAACCCTGCAATCTCTGGATTGCTGGCACTGTGGAAGAAGCGGAAATGGGACGGCAGGGGAGCACACTTGATGTGGGAGGGGATGACATATGGTACCTCAATGACAGTGGCATGAATGCTCCAAACAGTGGCCTCTGTCCGTGTGAAGGGGCCAATCGTGAGCCCATTGTTGATGGTCATAAGTATCCCAATGTGGAGGACATGGCCAATCAGCTGCTTGCCATAGACCTGACCGCCGAGATCACAAAGTGGCTTGACGAGCAAGCTGCTTGTGTCAGCAATCTGATTGAGGCCATAAGCCAATACCGCCGCCAGTGCTGCCTAACAAGGCCAACGGCCCTGTCAGTAAACCCAGCTGGCATGATATGGTGCTGTTGCTGGTGTAGCCCTCCTTGCATTGGCAGGCATATTCAGGAAGGGTCTGTCCAAAGGATGGCAAAGGTGCAGATGGTGTTGGGGTGGCAGGAGCTGCAGGGTCTGGTTTTGATGCAGAAACAAAAGCACAATTGCAGCACTTGGGGGTGTCAGGGCCAGGCATGATGTGCATGTAGTGGATGTTGGGCAGGATGGTGGCAGCCTGGGTGTGGAAGGTGTAGCCATCCTTGCTGTGGACCCCAACTGGGTGCAGATCAACAGTGAATGTGTGAGCAGCACACAGGTGGGCCTGGTCAATATTGGTGTGCAAGGCCCAGATGGTGAGCACCTGGAGCCACTCCTTGGTGAGCACAGTAGCATTGGTGGTAGTGGTGGCTGCCACAACAAGGGCAAGCAACAGTGCTGCCAGAAGGGAGCAGGGTGTGTTCATCACTGTCACATAAGGTGAAATGTGATTGTGTTGGTGTGGTTCCACTGGTTCAATTTTTCAGTGGATTCTTATTTTTCTTAGAAAATTTTCCGGAATGCATCCTTTTATTAAAAAAGGAGGCCTATCACAATAACTCCGAAGTTGTTTTAACCCAAATAACCCATTCAGGTAATTTCTATTGCGGGGCGCTGGAGAATGGAATGCGGCGCTCGTCAATAAAGAGTTGTTTTTCGTTGCGCAACAGCGCCAAGGGGCGGAAACTCCTCAGAGGAGAGAAGGGAGAAGAAATGGAACATGTAAAAGTAAAATAGGGTACACAAAAACACAACACCAAGACTGTCAGAGCCAATGGTAAGGCCAACACAATGTGAGGCACAGGTACAGGCCAGAGGTATGACGTTTGTTCCTGTGCTGATGTTTCTTACCATGGCACACACAAGTGGAGAGTTTCATTATGGGGCTGCTAGAGCAGCACTCCTGAAGCCCTCAACAACTTTCCAATGACAACAACATCAACACCCAAGATGTGGTGGTGGTGGTGGTGGCCAACTGACAGTGCAGACAGATTCTGAATCTGGGACAGGTTTTGGGGCAAACTTCTTGGGTGGGCTCAGTATGATGGATGGTTGCTTGGCTGGTCTTGGGACTTTGGACTGCCCTGGTGTCTTGATGTTCCCCCCACCTGAAAGTCTTGTTGGGGTCATTGTCAAGAGACCATTTGTCAGCAATGACTTCCACCTCCCCTCATCTCCCCTTGCCAACATCCTTTCATTCTCCATCCATTCATCCTCCACCCTTCAAGCCCCAAGTCTTGTCATTGTCAAGGGGGTTGTTGGGACCAGTTGATGATGACACTGATGTGGGGTTGAAGGGGGGAGGTGATGTGGTCCTCAAGGCCTTCTTGTTGTCTTGTGACATCTTTTCCCTTGAACTTGTGGTCATTTGAAATGAGAGGTCCAGTCATTTTGAAAAGTGATTTTGTTTGTCAGTTTAACCTCATAAAAATGGTTTTGATAACACAAAAAAGGTTTTATTTTAACAATAACATGACAAAATTGGATGCATCTTGAGATATGCTGCTTCCCATACTTCTTTTTGATTTTTCCTGTAATTCTTGACCTTCTTTATCAAAATTTTGATGTACCAAGTGAAATACTATTTATCATGACAACATGTAACATGTAGTTGTAATTCCTATTTTATCATTGTGTACATGTACATGATGATTTAACTACATTTACATCATTTTCCCTTTTTTCAAAAATGGATATGACATCCCTGACACTCACTCCCAGAGTGATTCTGAGGATCATAGTGATCTCACCACAACACCAGTACTTGAGATTCCTGTGTCCCTCATTCTGGATGTGTGCAGCGATGATCTGGTCAGCTGGCTACATCCAGCCAGCAGATCATGGATTCAGTGGACCACTGTACACCACAGCCAGCAGTGAAAGTGCTTTCAACAGTTGAGGCATTGGACTTTAATCAGATCATCACAAGTCCCTGCTGTTCTGCACTCTGGAAATGGCCAACTTCTCCATTGTGGATACTCTTCAAACTGGAAGGACCTCCACCCACACTACAGCTCAGGCCAGCACATGGATAACCATGGAATTTTCATGGACAGTTCAACTGACATCATTCTGCCTCTCCTAGTGCCTCTGCCCTCAGCCTGGAAAGACCTTCACCTCTACAAGCTTGGCATTCATGGATTTATCAACCATGGCCTTCACTGCCACTCCTGTACCTACACCAGGGCCAGTTCAGCTGTGGTCCCAACTTTGCAGTGTCTCTGCTGCACCATCACCTCACCCTTCACTTAGCTATTCCTGCAGCAGGACTTCATCCATCAACTCTCTACCTACAGTTCAACAACTGCAGCCAGGAGAACAAGAACAAGTACATGCTGGCCTACTGCCACTGGCTGGATCCCTATATCTGTGGTGTTCAGGGAACCTCCAGGCCTCATGTCTTCCACTTCTCCTGTCATGAAGAAGATGTGCAGATGTTCACAAAGGACTACCATTCCTCTGCCTCTCCATGGATGGGTCCCTATTCCTTCCTCAACCTCTGTCCCTCTGACTCTCCCCTTCCTCTTCTCCCAGCTCAGCTCAATACCACCATCCTCAAGGATACCCTCTCTGCCCTCACTGAGCTCAACAATGCCCAGGCCATGAAGAAATCCTACCAGGATCTTGTCTCTCTCTTCAATAGGCCACCTCCAGAGCAGCTCACCAGTGACCCATTGGTGGGTTTATGGGTACAAACATGCTCAGAATTACCTTCTCTCTGACCTGGAGCCATTGGATTGGCCCATCAATGCTTCCAAAGTGCTACACTTGAGCTGACATCAGTGAAGCCAGATGATGGAGCCATTGTGGCAATTGCTGGTGAGAAAGGAGCTGATTTACATCTTATATACTATTTCTAAATATCGATATATTCGCTCACTGATGTGATGTGTTTGTGTGGTCAGGTGTGGAGGAGGCTGTGGGTGCCACTGGCGGTGAGGCCCACCACCCAATGGTACTTGCTCACCTCCAGCCACATCACACACATCTTCCTTGACTGGCTGGATGAAGCAATGGATGGGTCCTACCACTTGGCTGCTGACCCACCCACCTCTGTCTCCTACAATTCCCTCATGTGTGCAGATGTTTCACTGGATCTCAACAACCAGATGAGACCTGTGCTCCAGTCATGGCTTTGTAGCATGTGGAAAGACTGGCCTGATCTTGATGAAGACTCCAGTCACCTTAGCCCAACCCACACCAAAGAACTGCACACAGCACCTGAGGTTTGTTACAGCACCCCATGTATGGCATGTTGGGCTGACTGGGCAAACCTCTTGATGTACCTTTTGAACCTCCATGACAAGTGCTCACTCCAACCCATCTCAAAAGTTTTATCATATGTGACTCACATCCAGTTCATGTTCAACCTCACACCATATTCAGTCAGTTGCACTCACAGACAGAGCTTCATTCTTCACATTTATGCTGAATTAGAGCACTATTCCTGAAGTTAAAATTCCACTCCATTTCACACTGCTAAAATCACTTTTAACTCCACAAATTCTAAGTTTTTACGAAATCATTTTCATCTCAAGTCTCTCAATATCACTTATATGCAGCAGTCTAGCATGTCAAAATCACATGTGCACATCCAAATCTTCAAAACTGCCCTATAAATCAAAAATGTCAAATCTCACACAATTTTAGCACAACAAAAATTCCACAGTCATTAGTGACCTCTCATTTCAAATGACCACAAGTTATTGGTGGTCCTCCTCCTCAGCCTCATTGCCACACTGAAGCAAACGTCCAAGGGAGAGAGGGAGAATGAGTTGTTGGTGTGATAAAGGCCATGGTGATGTGCAGGTGTCATCAACCACACACAGTTGGGCAAACACAGCCCAGAAAGAGTAGTGGTGGGCAGTTCACCTCTGTCTGGCGCTCAGGCAAGGTTGTGGTGGTGGTGGTGGTGTTGAGGTCTGGTTCACCAACATGGGTGGTCTTGTGAGCCAGTTCTGCAGACCCAGTCCCTACAATGCACAGATAGGCACACTTGACCTCACTAAGTGCTCTTGCCCTCACCCTCTTCAGCAACAATGACTTCCATGCTGTCCTGCACAAGCTGTCTGCCCATGATGTTGCTCTTTGTCAGGAGCTTTCTTTGTCATTGTCTTCTAGCTCCATGGCTAACCAGGTGTTGGAGGCAGTTGCTGTGAGCAAGCTCTGTGTGCACAAGAAGTGCGTGGTGTGGGTGGCATGCAATCTCTTCCTCCTCTTGGCCAATGAGCGCATCAAGACCACCCTGGCTGGCAACTGGCACCTTGGCCAAAACAAGATGGCCTGGAGCAAGGACTGTGGCTATGTGGTTGTATTTGTCAGCCTGGACCACCTGTCCATCCAGTACTATGGCAACAATGGTGACTGCCTTGTGCATGCCCTTCCTGAGATCTTGATGGACATGAGGGAAGAGTTCTACTATGAGGTGGTGCTTGAGAGTGACAGTGGAAGCGGGCGTAGGCTTGTGCCCTGCGGGCTCAGGTGATCCAAGTCTCAAATTTTGGGAAACAATACATATCTGTTTTTTATTGAGATAAAGAAATATATTTCTATCAGGTCACTCGAAACCCAACACGCTGCAATGTCATTGCTTCTGGAGCAGGTCGACTACGCGCGCCCACTCGTGCTCCTTGAGCTGGTTACACAGCTGGAGCGGCGTCTGCTTCTCGGCGTCGGTCACGTTGTGCTGGGCGCCTGCATCGAGCAGGAGCTGCACGATCTCGGCCCTCCCACAGCCCGCTACATCCCGGCGAGCACCCCCACGCCGGGGTATTGTTAGTCGCCTCTGTGGTCATAGTGCTCTGTGTTTGTTGGGCGCTCGGTACCGGCAAAGTGCAGCACCGAGGAACCGTTCTCGGTCTTGGCGTTGGGGTCCGCCCCTGCGGCCAGCAGCAACGTGACCGCTGCCACGTGGCCGTACCAACTGCTGTAGTGCAGCGCCGTCCTACACATCGTGTGTGTGTGTGTGTGTGTGTGTGTGGCGTTCGTGAGTCACGAATGTGTGAGCAACGTTGGGCGCCAAAGGGGAGTAGGGGCGCACCATCCGTCCTCGTCCCTGGCGCTGAGCTGGGCGGTGCGGGTGCTGGCCGGCATGGCATCGATCTGCTGCGTGAGCCCAGCCACGTCCCCCAATTGGGCTGTTTGTTTGGGGTTGGGAGGGTGAAGAGCTCTGTCAGTGTGGGCCAGAAACCAGAAACCCCCTTTTGGGAGTTTGTAAGCATCGCCGGTGCGCACCGGCGCAGTGGTAGGGGAACAGCTCGGCCCACGTCTTCCTGCAGGTTTGGGGGGGGGGCACAGTCAAGGCTAATATGAATACCAGCGGGTTAGGAGGGAAGAAGAGTACTTGGCGGGAACAGAAGCGGGCTTGGGCGCGCTGAGGCGAGCGCCAGCGGTGGGTGGGGGCGGAGGCGGGGCGGCCATTGTTCTTTTTGTAGTAAAACTAATAGCAAAAAGAAAAGAAAATAAACTGTATTATTTATTTAGCAAAGAAACGCAACAAATAACAAATGGAGGGCACGGGTGGGCTCAGCCTGGTCCTGACCGGACCTGGCCGCATGCTCCTCCTGGCCGGCACCCGCCGCAAGACTAATATCTGCGTCTCCGTCTTTGACGTGGGCACGCCCCCCCCCCGATTTATTGTATTTTATTTTTCATCTTAAAATGTGGTTGGCTAATGCCGAAGGTGCCCGGGTCGCAGGGTGTGGGGAGTGGGCGGGTGTGTATGTGCACGGCACTGCGAGCGTGCAGCGTGCGGCCCACCCGACCTGGTGGTCGGGGGGCGTGGCGAGCGTGGGGTCCTACGTCTTCGCCTTCGGCGGCATCGACCCGCACACGAGCCTGCCCACCAACTCCACCCACGTTCTCGACACAGGTTCGTTCACTCCGTTGGTCCTTCTAATCGTTTTCATAACTTTTTCTCATCTGTGCTGCAACACGATGGATGTATTTCTGATGTATGCATGCTACTATGTTTTATGTGATTCGCCGCGGTGAACAGGAAGTGGTGAGGTGTCGCGGCTGGACTGTTCGGGGTCGGCCCCGGCGCCGCGGTGGGGCCACACGCTCTCGCCCGTCGGCAATCGGCTCTACATGTTCGGCGGCGCCTTGTCCCCCACCATCTGCACCAACGATCTCTTCCTATTCGAGACCGGTTCGTGTGTTGCGTGCGTGTGCTGCGTGTGCGTGTTCTGTGCGTCATTGGGAGATCTGGGCTCACAACGTTGAGTGATGTTTTTTGCTCTGTGCAGGCACGACGTTGTGGCGCGAGCTGCGGGTGAAGGGCGACTGCCCGGCAAGGAGGACGGGGCACGCAGCCGCCGTGGTGGGGACGAAGGTGTACATTTTCGGCGGCAAGGACCAGCAGGGCCGACTCCTGAACGACCTCTACATTCTGCACACGTCAGGTACTCGCGCTGTGCGTGCCGGTGCCGCGCACCATTAGCTCTTCACTCACACACGCGTGTGAGTTGCTGCGTGTTGTTGCGTGTGGTTGTGTGCAGGCCCGGCGAGGTGGGAGCAAGTGACGGGTCGAGGCGTTGCACCAGCCGGGCGGATGGACCATGCCCTGTCGGCGGTGGGTACGCGTCTGTTTGTTCACGGAGGCGTCGTCATCAACGATCCCGCCACACGAGCCTCCGACCTACACGTGTTTGACATCGGTACCGCATTTCCCCAATTTCTGTTCTTTATTTGTTCGAATAACATAAACAATCAAAAGAACAAGCAAGTATGAGCAATATAATGATGTGACACTTCTTTCATATTTCTAACGCCACAATCTATCAACAGTAACACAAACCTGGAGGGAGGTGGACGTGCAGAAGGAGCTGGGGATTGCACTGGGACCACTCGGGCGGTATGCCGCAGGTAAAGAATGCACCTCCAGTCTATTCCATGGGGCAATCCCTGTGATGAGCTACCACTCATAAAGGTGTGGGTGATGACGCACAGCCGTGTGGAAGTCGGCGATCGTTGCGAAGAGCGAACAAGGCACTTCGATTATTGACACCCGTACGTTGACAGGCAGTTCTCTATTTGCTTATGTGTCTACGTAGATGAAGACATGTCTTTCTTCGCTAAATTTGTAACGAGAATCAGGAAAGATATTATTCTCCGATCCGCCGGCGGATAGGCTGCGCGACGATCTCGCGGGGTTGTTGGAGGGCGGCCAGGCCTCGGACATCACTTTTCTCGTCCAGGTAATGCAGGCTTTTTCCAACAGTCACACCACCCTAACTGCCTTCCAGCTCACATGAAAACCGCACACGCACGCGCACCACCGCACACTCACCACCGCACGCGCGCCACCGCACACGCACGCACGTGCACAGGGCCAACTCATCCCCGCGCATCGGTGCGTGTTGAGCGTGCGGATGACGGAAGCCGGCCTCGCAGCACTTCTGGGCCGCACGCCTTCGGCTGCCGAAGAGACGCCTGAACTCGAATCTGATCCCTCGGCGGTGATCGAGGTGGCCGACTGCACTGTCGACGCGTTCAAGGCCGTACTGGGCCTGCTGTACTCGGACCGCGCGCGGGTGCTGTCGCCCGACAGCGACGCGTTCATGCGACTCGCCGAGCGCTACCAGCTCAGCGAGCGCGTCGCGCCGATCGCGTTCTATCCGCTGATCGTCGACCAGCAACAGCCGCTGTTGCCCGCCGACCAGCAGCAACAGCAGCTGGTCAACGCCGACGCCGACTCGCTGGCCGTCGACCTGCGCAAGCTCTTCAACCTATCCCTCACCACCGACCAGACCAGCTCGCAAACGTACACGAAACTTTTCATTGTTTGTCGTGTGTGCCGTGTGTGCCGTGTGTGCCGTGTTGGGCTGAACGAAATTCGTTGGCGCAGGGAACGCGAACGGCAGCTATTGGGGTTGCGGGACATCGCGTTCGTGGTGGGCCAGCGACGGGTCACCACCTACAAGTGCGTCCTGGTGGCCCGCAGCGAGTACTTCCGCGCGCTCCTGTCGGCCAACTTTGGCGGCGAGGCGCGCAGCGAAATCGTCATCAGCAGCGACGGCGACGGCGACGGTGTCGTCGTGGACTACGAGTCCCTCGTGGGCGTGCTCGAGTTCGTCTTCACCGGCACCATCGACCGCTTCCAGGCCGAGGCCCGGGCTCACGAGGCCGAACAGCGCAGGCGCCTCTGTAGACTAAGGCGTGGACAGCGCGCCCGAGCCTCATCCTCGTCATCGTCATCATCATCGGCCTCGCCATTGGCTTCCTCGATCACAACCTGGTGGCGCAGATTGTGGTCGACGACCAGCGAGAATGCGACAAAAGCAGAAGAAAAAGAACAAACTGAGGAGAAAGAGGGGCTCGGCGGCGACAGCGACAGCAGCAGCGACAGCTTCGTAGGCCGGGTGGTGGCGCTGCTGGCGGCCTCGACCCAGTTCGCCCTGTTCGACCTGGGCTCTCTGTGCGAACGAACCCTCATCGCCGAACTCGCGCGTCGCATGCCCCCGGTGCGCCAGCAGCCGCAGAAAGAGCGAAGACGACCGGACAACGAAGAGAAAGCGAAAGCGACCGAGAAAGAGATAGAAGATGAACGTGAAGCTGATGACGACAATGATGAAGAGGGAGAGGAAGAGGATGCGGCGGACCTGGCGCTGCCGCTGCTCATCGTGGCCGATCGGTTTGCCTGCGCGCAGCTGCGGTCGGCCTGCCTGAACGTGGCCGCGTTGCAGGCGGACGCGGTGCGGCGGAAGGTGAAGGAGCACCGCAGCGAGATGGACGCCGCGCTCCTGCAGGAGCTCTTCAGTTGGCTCACCAGCACGGGAGAATGAAGAACGCAACGTTGCAAAATTTCGCGTCGCTAGGCATTAAAAAGATCGGAGCCAATGGCGAGAAAGAGCTGTATTAACGGCAAGCTTTCTTTTGGTTCATCAAACACCAAAAGATCGCAACCTTGGATCCATCTACCTCTCCCCGTCGAGAGTGAGCATGGATCTTGGCGAAGACAAATGGATTGTACTTACCCTCCCCTCCTTTCATCTCGATGTTCGTTGATCCTTTCCGTAATCAGATTTTCCCTTTCATCGTTTCACATCTTTTTATTTATTTATTTATTATTGTGTTGAGCGCAACTGAAGGCAAATGTATCCCAAATTAAATAAATAGATTTCTTATTAATTGATTTCGATTTGCAGTTCATCTGGTCCGGCGTGGGCGGCGGAGTGATAGTCCTGCTGGCCTTGTTCGCCGCGCTCACAGCCTACCTATGCGCCCGCCACAACCACCGACGCCGCCCGGGCGGCGGCTCGCCCTACCTGCCCCTCTACGACGAAGAGGTTCGAGGAGCTCCTCCCCCCAGTCCCTTTTTATGTCCGAGCGCACACTCGTGCCGTGGACATAAAATACAACCACTCTGACACTCTGGTGGCACGCTCGCCGATGCGCGCAGGCCGCGATGCCGCGCGGGCGCAAGGGCAAGGGCGATGTGATGTCGGCCGAGGCCTCGCTGCGAGAGTACCTGGAGGACAACGTGGCCACCCCTCCCGAGACCCAGCAACACCGCATCAGAGAAGGTGAAGCTGCAGCTCGCATTATTTTTTATATAATATCATAGTTTATTATATTATATTATATTATATTATATTATATTATATTTATAGCGGTACACGACATGACACAGAGGAGGCGCTGATGAACGCGCGGTACTATCTGCGGTCCTCGATGGCCGCCATGGACACTTCGCTCCCGGGCATAGGTACCCGTCGCACGCGCACACGCATACCATGCATTCCTCTGATGCGCATGCATTCCTCTGTGTCGTGTCGTGTCGTGTCGTGTTGTACAGGTCACAGGAAGCGCAAGTTTTCGTTCCTCGTTCGACATCCACAGCGCGGGCTGCATCTCATGACCATGGTGCGCTTTCGTTGCCGTACTCTCTCGGAGATATAAATTCATACATATCTTTGAATGGTCTCACTTTGCTGCGCGCGCAGGTACACCGAGGCATCAATTGCGTGCTCTCATTCGGCAGCGACAGCGGCAAAGCCACCTTTTGCAACCTCCTCCAGTCCCTGCGAGTACGTGTGTGTCGTGTCGTGTCGTGTCGTGTCGTGTCGTGCGTCGCGTGCGCTGACGAGCGGACATGCGCAGCATCCCTACGTTTGTCCCACGCTCGATGCCGATTTTTTAGCGGAGAAAGAGATGGCCGTGATCTTTCGCGCCTTCCAGCCCAAGGGCAGCCTCAAGGACCTCATCTATCGCGTACGCACCATTCTTCTCTCTCTCTCTCTCTCTCGCGGTTGGACAGTTGTGCACTCACACGCACACGCACACACGTACACCGCACACGCACGCACGCGCGCGCGCGCGCGCGCACACACACACACACACACACACACACGCCACACGCACATGCATGTGGATTACATCGCACAGGCGTCGCCAAGGAGCAGATACAGCCGGAAGTATTCGTGTGTGGGCCACCCGCTCCACCCGAAGACGATAGCGCTTTTTGGTCGACAAATTCTCGAGGTGGCGCCTTCCCTGTTGTGTGGCACCGCCGCACACACGCGCGAGCTCACCATTATTGATTGACGCACACCCAGGGCCTGGCGTTCTTCCAGTCGAAGGGGTTCATGTATGGCCATCTCCACTCGGGCAACGTCATCCTCGACAACAAAACGTGCCGCCTCACCGGTGCTTACCTGGCACTGACGCACACGCACCACCGCACACGCACGCACACGCACACACCACCACACACGCACACGGCACGACTCGCATGAATGTCTCACCGGTTTGGGTTTGTGGGGAGGCAGACTATGAAAACAGTTTGCTGAATGTGATGCCGCGCCTACAGCCGTTCTTCCTTCTTCTGCCCGATCGGCAGCCCGATGTGATCGCCTTCGCACACCTTCTCTTTGAGGTAAGACTCCTAGAGTTTGAGTTTTCGTCTTAGTTTTAGTTTTAGTTTTAGTTTGAGTTTGAGTTTTGAGTTTTAGTTTCGGCAATGCATCAAATGGGAATCCCTGGAATGCCTGATTATGTGTGGCTGAATGAACCTGTTCTGCTCTCCGCAGATGGCGGCGGGGCGAGAGCTGACAGCACACGACCAAGTCAACGAGGACACACTCGCCTCGCAGCCGCAGGTCCTCGACGTACGTTGCGCTCCCATTCAATTTCGACCTCGTTGCTGTTGGTGCCCCACGGGCTCACACGCACACGCACACGCACACCACACACGCACTACCGCACACGCACAGATCCTGAAGCGAATACTGGGCCTTGCGGTCGGTCAGGAGGAGGCGCTACGAACAGTGACCGAGGTCCTTCACCAGCCCTTCTTCTTCCACGTCCAGCTTCGTCATCACTCCTCGAAAAAGGTTCAGTACTGTTGCATGTGTTGCCTGTGTGGCGTGGGCAGTGTGTCGTGTGTGTCGTGTGTCGTGTTTTTGCTGACGTGAATTGAATGACAGACGCGGATCGATTCCAAGGGGCTGGACATGCTCAAGGCCGCGCACCGCACCTCCATCATCGGCAAGGTATGCCGCCTGCTGGCCGCGCCTACAAAAATATCTCGTGTTCCATTTATTCACCGTTTTGCCACCACCTCAGGACGATTTCCTCGCCCTCGAAGGCGAACACGAGCTCGGCCGATCCCTCCGCCGGTGCGTGTCTCTCGTGCGTGTGCGGTTGTGTGCGGTTGTGTGCGGTTGTGTGCGGTTGTGTGCGGCTGTGTGCGGTTGTGCTGAATCGATGTTGCGCGCAGGTCGATACGCGGCGAGCGGAGAGGGAGGAGAAGCGGCGCGTCGTCGCCGCGATCGCTGGCAGCCTCGACCTCGTCGACCCCGCGTGGGGGCGGCGGCCCAGCCACGCAACAGAACCCATTGTCGCCTCCTCTGTCGCCGCTCCTTCCCCTCTCCGCCTCGGCGCCGGCCCACCAACTCGCGCCGCTCCTCCTCTACTCGCCACCGCCGGGGCTGCGCCACCACCACCTCCCCACGCACCGCCACCAGCCACCAGTCGCAGCTGTTGACAGCGCCGACCACCAGCAGCACCAGCAGCAGAACCAGCAACACGATGGTCCGGCTGGGCAGGACGAAGAGGAAACGACGACCACGATGACCGACACCAACATCAATGACGTCGACAACAGAGACAAGAAGGACGAGACGGATCCGCCGCTGGAGCGGATGAGTCCGCCGGCGCCCACGACCCTGTCCACGCCGCTCCCGCCGCTCTCTCCGTCATCACCATCAACATCAACAACACCGAGCGCCGGCGTTTCGCCCTCGTCTCCATAATAAATAGATCACGTTATTATTTATAATGTTGTATGATTGTCATTTTTAATTGCCCTCTCCATTGCTTAGAAGGTCTCCAGGTTGGGCTCGTTGGCCGTGGTGGGCTCGATGCCCTGCTTGAGGAGCCTGCCCTCCTCCTTCTTGGTCTCGTCGCCCGTGATGGCGCCCACCATCTGCTTCATGGTGCCCTTCAACTTCTGGCCCACCGTCGCGTGCGGCTCCTCCTTGTGATGCAGATGCACCCGCTCGTGCCTGTCGGCATGCACATGCGCTCTCTCCACCACGGCCGGCTCCTCCACGACCGTCGTCTGTGTTGACACATCACACAATGCAAGCAGCTGCAGTTTAGCCTTTTACGTGTGTGCGGTGGCGTGTGCGATGTCTATGTGCGTGTGCGGGTGTGTGCGGCACCTTGTGGAGGACGGGGTGTTCGGTGGTGACCTCAGTCTTGTGGATGGGTTCGATGTGGCGCTCCTTCTCGTGGATGGTGGGCTGGACGTGGTGCTCCTTGTGGATGATCTCCGGGTGTTCGGTCACCAGGTGCTTCTGCACGATGGGCCGGTCCTCGACGATGGTCGCTCCGGAGCCCACCGTGGCGGCCGTGACGTTCTTGTGGCACTTGACCACCTTCTCCGCCGCCACTGGCCCCTCCACCACTTTCTCCTAAAAAGGGTTGCATATCAACACACAAACACGTCAGCATTCCACAAATACCTGGACAAATATGGAAATTTGTGTGCCTGAGCGTGTGCGTGTGCGGTGAGCGGCGTACCCTGTGGATGACGGGTCGCTCGGTGGAGACCTCAACGCGGTGGATGGGCTTCACGTGGACCTCCTTCTCGTGGATGATGGGCTGGACGTGGTGCTCCTTGTGGATGATCTCCGGGTGTTCGGTTACCACGTCCTTCTTGACGATCGGCGCCTCGTGCACCACGCCCTCGTCCCGTTCGACCAGCGTCGTCTTGCCCAGCTTGTCGGTCATCAGCCGCTCCTCTTCCTTGTGGACCACACCAGCGCCGGTGCCGAGCAGAGTCTTGTCGGTTCTGTTGAGAGACATGATGATGATTTTTTCTTACGTTTGGAGAGTGAGTGTTTGTGGAATGGATGTGAGTAGAGTGTGTAGTGGATGGTATGAAAAAGAAACTGGGTGGGCCACACTCTTTTATAGGGATGCCAGGCCGGGTGACGGGCTATTGGGTGGCACGTTGGCAGAAGTTTGCCCAACCCAACGGGTGTGGAATCCGATGATTTCCGTCCATTTTTCTACTGGTTCCCCTTGACCTGGTGAACAGTCATAAAATTCACCAATCACCGGCCCGTGATTGCCCAACCCAGAAAGTTCGGGCGAGTACCGAAACACACCACCTCACAAAAGAGATCACCACACAAGCTCTCTCACTCTCCGAACCAGGAACACGAGGCTGCTTCCTCTTCTTTTTCTACAACGAATGTTGCTTGTTCGCTTTCTTGTCGTCTTTCTACGCTTTGCCGGCGGACAAGAAGCGCTGTAGCGACGCTTGGCCCACGCCCTTCGTCTTCGGCGCGGTCTTGACCTTCTTCTTCTTGGCCGCCGGCGAGGTCACCGCCGTCGGTGCCGGCGCGGGCTTGGAAGGGGACGCGCTCCTGTTCGTGCCGGTCGCGGCGGTGTGGGCGGGTTGCTCCACGTCGTCCTCTTCCTCGTCTTTGTCGTCTCCTCGCTTCCTCTTCTTGCTCTGTTGGAAGAGGTCATCGATCGTGCGCTGCTCCTTGGCCCGGCGCCCGTGTCCGACGATCTGCACCTCCGCCTCCTCGTCTTTCTTCCGGTGGCCCTCTTCATTCGCTTCTTCTTCGTCGTCTTCGGCCTTCTTCGACGTCGCAGTCTTGGCTGCTCCGGCGAAGAGCATCGACATGAAGTGTCGCTTGGCCTGCTGGGCGTCCTCCTCCTGCATCGCCTTCCAGTCCGGCACTGCAGCAAATGGTATCAATGTCAGTGCAACACGCCCCACACGCCACACACGCCGCACACGACACGCAACACTCACTGCGGCCGGGGTCGTACCGAGGTCGGGCAGTCGCTGTGCGAGGTTGACGGCGTTCTGGATGCCCTGGTCCTCGAAGTTGGTGTTCATCATCACGTAGATGCGGCCCTGCCCGCCGAGCAGACGCCCCAGCCGCCGGAGCCGCGTGGCCCAGGCGTCGAGCTCGGCCAGTGTCAGGAGCTTGTCGTTGCCGCGCCGCCGGTGGATGCGCACGTAGCACACCGACGGGTGCGTGACCCGCTCCACGATGGGCACCATCCGCACCTTGCGCTCCACGGCGCCCTGCTGCCGCCTCCACTCGTTCTTGGCCGCCTGGACGCCCTGTGGCCGCGGCGGCGAGGTCGTGGCGGCTGCAGCAGTCGCACGCTGCACTGGACCGCTCTCATAGACTTCGCGCCGTGGTGGTCGGTCGTCGTTGCCGGTGTCGCTGTCGCGGTGCTGATCGTCGCTTGTGTGTTGGTGCCTCCGCAGTCGCGAGTACAGTTGGAACCCAAGCGCGGCCACGGGACTCGCTGCCGCTGGCGTCGTTGTGGACGATGACGATGAAGATGATGAAGAAGACGAAGACGATGAGGGTGCGGGCGATGTGGTGGAAGAGAGGAGAGAATGAGAAGACATGAAGGTGGGCGCTGGGCCTCCGCGAGGGCCGGGCGGCTTGGCGCTGGTCGGCGGGGTCCCGCTGCGCGGGTGGTCGACCACGTGGTCGTCGTTGGGCCACTCCTCAAGGAACTCGTCGACGATGACGAAGGCCATGTTGTTGCGCCGCAGCCACGCCATGACGTCCTCCTTGACGTAGCTCGGCAGCAATGCGCCCGGCGTGCAGTTGGCCGCAGGGATGCGGGCGGACTCGTCGCCCGAGCCCTGGGCGAGCCACGACGCACAGCGGAACTCGACTGCCATCGTCAAGTCGCTCCGGAGCATGCGTCGGCACGATAGCACGTACTCCCTGTGACGTGGCATCGCGTCAGACACGGCACACAACTCACGCACACGACACACGACACGGCACACACTCCCCGCACCTGTTCTGCGGAGTGTCCATGAAGCCGAGGGGGAATTGGAAGTGGACGGCGCCGAGCTTGCCGGCTCGGTGGAACACGCTCATGCTGGTGTTGAGCGCGTCCCACAGCTCCATGCGGAGGGCCGGCGAGAGGTCGTCCCACAGCAGCGGCGTCTTCTGTTGCAGGTTGGGCGGCAGCTTGGCCCGCACGCTCCCCGGCAGCGACGCAGCCGTGGCCTACACGCCAACCGGTCAGCAAAACGCACACGCACACACACACCACCACACACGCACACGCCCGACCGCACACACGCACACGCACACACAAACGCACCACTTGCTTGGCGGTGAAGAGGCAGAAGGCCTTGACGTTGAAGGTGAAGCCTGGCGGTACGGCGGCAGCCCAGGCCTCGCAGAGGTGCGGCGCGGGGATGGCGTAGTTGGATGCGTCCACCTCCACGCTGGCCAGGCGCCGCGAGTAGAACCACAGTCGCTTCTCTCCGGCCGATGGCGACGCGGCTGGTGACGTAGTAGAAGATGAAGAGGGAGATGCAGATGAGGATGACGAGGATGGACGTACGGCCCGAGATGGAGATGATGTAGATGACGAGGCAGTGAAGGAGGGAGGTGGAGTGGCGGAGGAACGCATCATGAGCCCCTTTGCACGTGAATTGGGGTAAAATCGGCCGCAGGCTACGAGGGTCGGGTCGGTCCACGAGCAGGTACCCAGCAGCACCTGCAACCGCTTCTCATCTGCCACATGTGCTTCCATCGTGTACGGTGGATGTACTTGCTCTACGCAAGGTCTGGCCAGAGGTGGCCGAAGATGATCAATCTGTTGCATCATCAACGGCTAGGAGAGAAATTGCGCAAAAGCTGCATTTCTTCTAAAATTTTGGCCTTGCTTTTAATTTAGAATTAGATCGCCAAAATTAAACGCACCCAAATAGCAATTTGAATATTTCATCACCGAACAAGGTCAGCATGTTGTGCAAGTTACTCTTGGTGGCCCTTTTCCTGAACTTTGTCCGCTCTTCTGGTACCAGCTGCGCCCCACATGTTTCTCTCACCTGAGTTTTGAACCAATTAGCTAAAGTTGTCATCCGGACGCAAGGATGGTCGTGTCTAACCGTCGCCAAAGGCGACTACGAGCCCCAGCTCGTCCCCTTCTACGGCTTTCACTCCGCCGTAATGACCGCCCGCGTTCAGCTGGCCGTGCATACTTCCCTCCATCGCCTTCATTCTTTCTTCTTCGTGCTTTGGTCGGAACTGAAGAGAGCTGTGCCCGACCACCCCAGAACGACACGAGCACGTACCTGTTCGGCCCGGACGAGGTGGAGGGCGCGCGGTGTCAGTCGTCGTGGAACAAGCTGTGGGGAGGCGGCCGCTGCGGCTACCTCAACTTCCACCACTATGACTCCGACCGTTTCGTGTGGCGCCGTCATGTACGCACATGCATCTAACTCTGTGCTATGCTGTTTGTGTATATGTTGTTTATGGTATGAAATGTACATCATCATGGTCATCATGTGCATGTCCACAGATTGGTTGCATTGTCTTCAACGGCAGCCGGGTGGCAGGCGAGAGACCCAACTGTCCCTTCAGGAACCAGATCCAGCTGGCCGCCTACGCCTACGACGACGGCAACATCCCCTACAAGAACGCATCACTCCTCAAGCAGTTCGACACCACGCTCGAGGTGCGTGTCGCGTGTTGCATGTGCGTGTGCGTGTGCGGTTTTATGCGTGTTGCGTGGACAGAACAGTTCGAACTGATCCTGCGCAGGTGGGTAAGGAGTACGGGCTGCGCCTCGACTTCCTGGAGACGTCGACGGTCTACTCGCTCTTCGCCGGGGACTCGACGCTGCTCGAGCGGCAGGTGATCCAGCACCGCCACTGCTGGGGCTACTCCGACGGCTACATTCTCTCCCTCTACTTCGGCGGCGTGTGCCCCGCGCCGCAGCCCGTCACCGTCTGCTACCTCACCGACGACGGCCTCCTCGCCACCACTTAGTCACATGTGCGCGTGCGGTCGTGTGCGTGTGCGTGTGCGGTCGTGTAGGATTAAAAATTCTCTGAATTCCAGATCTAGAGGTGGGCGGCCTTGGAGTGGTGGCTGTCGGGCTTGGACTGCTGCCACTCGGTGTGGAAGGTCTTGCCGCGCGGCTGGTCGGTGCGCTCGTAGGTGTGGGCGCCGAAGTAGTCGCGCAGGCCCTGCAGCATGTTGGCTGGCAGCCGCTCGGTGCGTAGGGCGTCGTAGTAGGCCAGCGAGGCGCTCAGCCCTGGCACGGGGATGCCCCAGCGCACGGAGAAGGAGACCACCTCTCGCCAGTTCTGCTGGCAGTCGTCGATCACGCCCTTGAAGAAGTCGTCCAACAGGAGGTTCTCCAGATCCGGGTTCTTCTCAAACGCCGCCTGTTCATACAACACACACCACACGACCGACACACGA